TCATTGTATCAGGATTATATTAGATTACTATATTTTCCAGAATAATACCTTTGTAGAATAAACTTGTGCCACTGCTTTCAAATATAAATACATTTGTTTTATTTCTCAGCTAATTTTTAATGAAGGCTTTAAAAAGGCGAAAATGTTCGTTTTTTGACTCCGTTGTTGGTTTATTTTATTTTGCTGTTCAATTATTCACATTTGTGTAGAAATATTAATACTCATTAGTTTTTTAATATCACAGCTAGCACATCTTATCTTTCGTAATTTGTCAAAATTTCCATTTTATTTTCTTGTCTTTTCATTTGAAATTTTCAGTGTACAATGGCCGAGATACTGAATACATGATTAATTGGTTGGTTGAATTTAGAATTTCTATCATTGTCAATTCTGTTTATGTTTCGTGTTTCCAGCTTCCGGTGTGTGTTTGCGAGCTGAACCATTGACGTATTTATCAAATGGCTGAGAAAACTCCTCGGCCCGCTTTTATTTTATTAATTTGTCTCTAAAATCGATGGAAATTCAATTCATCCTGAGAGTGTAAGTGCATGTGAAATGATGGGTATTAAGGTCACGTGACCGCCACAATTGAGGGTTCGAATACTCGGGTTAACGACAGTCCCTCCATAGGGATTGCGTGTTAACACAACGTCATTACTTTGATATTTTGATTATCAAATCTCATTATTATTGTAAACAAAAAAGAGACACGAATACGGGTATTATACCTTTGAGTATTCCCTCGCCCTCCCTCGACTTACCACGTTGTATTTAAGTACAATATTTCCCGGGGCATGCATCAAAGCTAAGACAACTAGATCGGAGTGAATCGGCACGTTTTGTTATATTTCATTTAGGAAACCTGTCAAGTTCAGCGATTCTGCCAGTCACATATGAATATTTGAATGCAGGATATATTTGCATTCGTAATGACGTACAGTCGTTCACTCCACTAAGTAAGTGCAAGAACACACAGCGTATACGGACCAACACTGACTGTCTTCCTAAGTTGGATACTATTTTTGTTTTGAATTGAATAGGCTGTGTTTATTGGTTAAGCTAAAATTTAGGTTGGTAAATAAATCTCGAACCTTTGTTGATATTCGTAAATGGGCGTTTGGAACCAGTACAGAAACCGTATTTATACAAACAGTAAGCGTATGTATCAATGTGTTTGACAATATTCTGGAAATTGGTCACATCCAAATTCAAGGTGATAGACACATTTATCTACCAGGCGCAATTAACACAAACTTGCCACTATAAGAAATATGAAAACACTCAGATCAGACAATTATTTTAAAGTAAAACAAAAAGAGTATCCGAAATCATGAAAGGAGGGGGGTATCTCGTAATGATTTTTTGCTTTTAAAGTTGATTCCCCCTCCCCTCCACCGACAAAAAATTGGCATTCTGCAAGTGTGCAATGCTTTGATTTTTTTAAAATAGTTCACAATCAATATTGTTGGCAAAGTCTCGTAAAATGAACAACGTACATACGTTATTTATGTTGCCATGACGACATAAATGATTGAGACTACCAAGGCTATATCACCCGGATTACATTCTAAAAGTTTGATTAATTCATCGGTCCGATAACATTTAGTTGTGTCAACGATATATATAACATGGGTGATTAATTAGTAATAAAACACGGGATCTATTGAAATAAGGATTATAGTTAGTAGAATAATCTTTCTAAAATACAGTTTATACAAAATGTATTAGACAGTTGAGAACGTGCTCACCTGAAGCGCAAATACACCGTATATTGTACAACATACCTAGCATATTTTTTCGCTAATTCAAGATGCAGTTAATTAAAAAAGGAGTATTATCACAATGGCATTATTGGCAGTTAAATTTATGTTATGTTAATTCAAATTCGCTAACATGACATGTAACTATATATTTCAAAAGTTTTTTTTTCAGTAAGCCACGCCCTCAGGCGACGAAAAAAATCTGTGACGTAATTAAGGGTTCGTCGCTATTGCCTTGATCTATTTTCGTCCGTCAATAAAAAAAAACATGTTTTTTTTTCGAAATTTACCTGTTATATTTGTAGAGGAAGAACAGCTACACAAACACGGCTGTCTATTCGAACGATATTGCTTACACCATATACGTCATTTTAACGTCACAGTAAAACTTCGTCTATAGAGGGCGAGATTTTTCGAAAAGATCCATTACATATTATATATACTTATATTGACTGTACGCGCGGTAAAGAATGAACGAATTCACACATTGAAGTAGCGTTGTCTGAGATAGCATATTGGCTAA